GGCGCGCGGTGTTCGGGAGGCATCCGCCGCTGCTTCGGAACACTTCGCAAATGAGGTCGTGGCCCAGAAGGGCGGCGATAACCAGCCAGCAAGGCCACAGGGGGGGGGGGCGACGCTGTATCCACAGCTCGGAGATAAGGCGGACTTGCTGCATATAACGCCGACGTTCAGAATGCGCGACCACTGCCGACCGAACAAGCGCAGCCGCGGCGGACGCGGCCAGCGAGCGAAGCTTTGGACCCCCCAGCGGCAAAGGCAGAATAACTCCACGCAGCGAAGCGCACCGCAAGGAAGCCGCAGCAGCCGCGCCAGGGCGCGGACGTCGAAGTTCAGTATCTTGCTCGGCAGGGGGGGAACTGCCAAGCGCCGCGCTGTGGGAAGCGCGCGGATCATGGGGCCCAGGGCTTTCAACGACGTCAGCGCGGAAGAAGCCGCGAGAGGCGCCGCCCGAATCTTGCGCTTCGCCCGGGGTGCCGCCCAAGACTGCAATATGGCAGCTGACAGGCCTCGCCGAGCACCCACGTGCAGGGCCCGATCTCCTAACTTGAAATCCGACCACGCAGGGGTGACCCCGCGAAGGAACGATTGGATTGGCTCTTCGATCATCGGCGCAAGCGCACCATGGAGCGGAAACAAGATAAACCCTGGTGGCTTGAGCTCCATATTCGCGACCCTGAATGACCCCGCAGAGGATGAAAGAGACCCAGGCAGCCCCGCCAGCGCGCTGGACGGCTAGACCAACGCGCGACGAAACCAAATGACCGCACAGATAGCAGACGACATGCGTAGCTCGTCGAGAACCGTGAAAAGTCCATGCTGGTTGAGGCTCGGAAAGACCCGACCAAACTCCAGCGCCGCGGGGGTCGGCTGCCGCGGCGCGATGTCGGGCGCGAGCGACGCTGACCTGGCAGCCGCGCCCAGCTCAACGGCGCGCGACGCGAGCCGCCCCCCAGCAATGGATCTCGGCTGAGTGGCCGGAGTAGTGCGCTGGGTGATCGGAGCCAACGCCGCGTTGGACGTGGCCGCAATTATCCTCGCGCCCGCGCTTCGCTGCCCCAGGGGCCCTGGCGGCGCCCGGCGCGAGAACGGCCCCCCAGGCCGCGAGGGGGCGAGCCGAGACATCGCTCGCAACAGCAGAGCGCGACGCGGCGGCCCCGCGCGGGCGAACGAGCGGGGGGCGATGGCCCTCTCGGCGCAGCGCCCAGCGAGTCTCGGGAACGACGTTGGGCGCACCGATATCGTTGCCAAATAATCGGCCAGAGCCTTGAGCTTGTCCAGGGAGCGGGCATGGATGACGTCGCTGGCCCTGGCCGCTCGCTGCGTCAATCTTTTCGCACGTGGCGCATGGAAGCCACGGCGGTGCTTTCCTCTCCATCGCCGAGATAACGCATGCCATGGGCCTCGCGCGCCTGCGGGCACGAGGAACCGCGCGGCGCAGATTCCCCAGCTCTTGTTCAGCATCCGCGCGTCGCACAGCGCCCGCCCATGCTTAAACGGCGGATGAATGAATTGGAGGAACCCAGCGCTCGGCGACGCCCGCGCGCGGAAGCGAATCCCCCAACGCATTGCAAACCTTCTGCGCCAGAGACGCGTCCTGTCGCCGCGTCGCGCTGGCCGCCTGTCGCGCAAAGATCCGCTCGGGAACGGGGGCCCCGAGGGTCATCCACGAGGAACTGCTCGAGAGCATCGTGCGCTGCAGCGCCAGCGAGGCCCTTGAGCCCGCCAAGCTGGCGCGGGGAAAAGCGCCAGTCAAGTGGGGCAGCGCGTCCCGCCGCAACCGCGCGCGCAGACGAGCGCGAAACTCCTCGCGCTAGTAGACCATGGGCGCTGCTGTCATGTGATCGCATGTATCCCCCTGCTGATGTTGCGCGTGAACTCACATGGCCGAGAGGTCGAACATTTCCCGCGCAGACGGTTCATCGGGAGCAGATGCCACCGCGGCAGAACGTTGAATTTGACAAGAATTTCAGCTGCGCCCTGAATACCACAAACGGTCAAACTGCGCCAAAGTCTGGGCGCCAGTGCAAAGTGGGCGGGCCCCCCAAAGACGGAAGCGGAGCACGGCGGGCGAAAGCGAACTCTCCGCAACCCACCGCGAGCATCGCCCTCGGATCGCGTAAAGCCCACGCTGCAGGTTCAGTTGAATTTCTGTTGCGACCTTCGCCGCGCCAGCACCCGAAAGACAACGGTCGTGGATGTCCCAGCGCTGCATCTCTGCCCGCGCGCCATGCAAGACCGTCTTGGGCGCCCCCCCTCCAGGGGAAGCCGGTGTAGCAGACGAGGAAGAGGACATGGATAATCAACGGGGCGACTGCCGCCACGCCGCGGCGAGCATGTCAGCGCGCCCACAGCGACCAATCTCGAAGAAACCGAAGACAGCAAGGGAAGGCGCCACTCTGCGCATGAGCAACTGGGGCTCGCCACGCGTTTTGTGGGCCCCCTGAATCGCAAACACCGAATCGGTGATCCCAGCTTTCTCCGGGTACGAAACCTTCGCCACGGCTTGCACCCGCGCAACCGAAGCAGCGCCCTCACGTTCCATGAAGCGAAAGTCAGCTCCTCGGGCTTGGTTACTCTCCTACCTTGGACAACCTTTACAAAAATGTCGTCGTACACTGCGATTCGTACACGCTAAAAGGAGCACTCTGGCGCTGGCGCAGCACTGGGCTGGAGGACGTGGTCGAACCAGCGCCGTGCACAAACGCGGGTCCACACGCGAGATGTGAGAGCAGCACCGTGCCAATGCCGCAAGATAGGATCACGACCAACTTGGTTTCCAATTTTCAGTGGTACGACCGTTCTGACGACAGCAGAAGAACTTGGTAACCAAGTATTGCTCAAGGCGTGCAGGCACCATTTTTTGCAAGCGGGCTCCGATGTGATCTGGAACGGGATTCTATGGGGCCCATCATGTAGCTAACCAGAACCAGCAGAAGCAGCAGGGGCAGGAAACCGCATGTACCGACCGGGACCCAGGAAGCGAAAGACGCCCGGCGATCGAACGACACGCCGATCAGCGATAGCCAATGCTCCAATGAACTGCCCTGCGAGGATGCGGCCGAGACGTTCGCCGACGAGCTGGTAGCCGCCAGCTAAGCCTCTTAGAGCCACTTGTCAATAACAGAGGCCACGCTAACTTTCTTGACGATCGTGGGCGCCGCAATCGCAATCAACCTCGCGCTGGAAACTAGCACTTGCCTTAGGAGGAGGCGGCACCCGTTGTGCATGTGCCATGCCACGTCGCATTTCGTCTAAGGGGGATCGCATTTCTGCAATTTCAGCTGCAAAACATGTCGGCCCGTCCATTTTATAGATCCCACATTTTTGGACGCCCGAAATGGGTACGGAATAAATGGGTACACTGCCCAACAACAAATGTTGTCCCAAACCAACAGCGGCCGCTGTTGGGCAGGTGGCCTTCTGTCTCAAATGGACACAGACCGCGTCGGCGCGGACAGCGAATCCTGTTCAAAATGAAAAAGATCTGCTGTTGAGCATTGTACCGATTCTTTCCGTGCCCATCTCGCTCGTGCAGATCATTAGCAAAGGAGAGTGTGGAGGTGAGCCTGATACCGTTTCTCGAGTGCATCAGCCTTTGGCCTGAACGTAGTTTCCACTTGAGCTTTGCACGTGCCTGGTACGCCATCGACAGCATTCGCCAACGTTTTGATCGCCGCCATGGCTGGGTCGATGGCTCGCCCAGCTGCCATGCTTGCAGTGACTGAGACCATCTCTGAGAGCTCCCTCTTGAAGAATTTGAGCTCAGCCCCAAACTCTTCATCGATGCGTCCCTTGATGTGCGTTTGTGTGTGTGTCCCACCCAGTTGGAACCATTCCATTCTCATCGTCGCTGTCGGCACGGCTCGAGCGAGACCAGTCGTCCTCCCGCGCAGCCGGCCGAGAGCCACCACGAACATGAGCGCCAGACCGATCAGCACCCCCCAGCTCTTCTTCCCAACACCATTCGCAAACATGTGCATGAATAGCCTGGCAGGAGTAGGAAGCTCCACCGGTTACCCACTAGACCGTTTAAGGGAGGTGGGACTTGTTCCTGCAGGGGCCGCAGGAGCTTGAAAACTGGCCACGGACCAATGGTATTTGTGTTGTGTCCGCCGACACAGACATCTTGAGCCACACTGGCGAGGGAAAGGGGAGGAAGAGGAGGAGGAGGAGAAACATAAGGGCCAGTGTAGACCCGAGACGCATCGAAGATGCTGCAAGCAAGCCTTCCCTCCGAAGGTCCCTCTTCATTGGGGCCGACAAGATCATTGCGGTAAGTCCCCCACCGGGGGATAACGGCAGAAAAACATTTTGTCATGCAGCAACACCGATCCTGGGACGCTTGCGCCGCGAATCAGCGTTACTGTTGCGTCTTGACAATCATGAGCCGCGGCAGATCACCATCCCTAGGACTTCCAGCATACGGATGTTTCAAACTGCTAGAACATTTGACCACGAATGCGCGCGGCGCTGAGGCGAGAGCCACATTTTGACAACCACCCGCCCTCCACTCGCGAAACTGTTGCCTGGTCTGAGGACACATGTGCGCGGCGCTGACGGAAGAGCCACATTCAAAACATCATGCGCCCTCCATCCACGAAACTGCTGCAAGCGTTTAAAGCGAATGTGCGAGGCGCTACAGGGAAAACCACATGTTGTAGACCACGCTCCCTCCACCCGTGGTATGCTTTCCAACTCTTATGTTGAATGTGCGCGGCGCTGAGGCGAGAACCACGTTTTGAAAACCACCAGCCCTCCATCCCCGAAGGTGTTGCATACTTCAAGCTTGGAGATCGTAAATAGTGAAGACATATCAGGCGAAACGCCCGGCCCGTCCTTCCGACACGTCTCGGGGTGCGACAGAGAGGAGTTACATATTTATGTATGTAACTAAATGTAAATGTAAGAAACTGGAGGGGATCAGGAGGAGGATGAAGAGGAGGAGAGCGAAGAAGAGGAGGGTCGAAGAGCATCGAGGATCGAGGCCCCCCCTCCCCAGCCTGGGCGCTTGCTTTCTTCAGCTGGGCGACGGTGGGGACGCCCTTGCCGACCAGAGACCGCCGGTGGAGCTAACTTATGCTCCTTGCCCCCCTGGGCGAAACCCATCATGCATCGGCACTCCTCTTGGAGGGGGGGGCCTAAAGCCGATGGGTCACCACAGGGAGGGGGGCAAGGACAGGAGCGTAGCTTCCCCAGTTGTCGCAAGACTGCCTTGTACCCCCAGCCCTTCAGCGAGTCAAGGATCTCCTCCACTGGTGTGCCGGCACGCTCCAGCCACTCTGGGATCAGCTCGATGGTCATGACGCACGGGGCGTACTCGGAGAAGAAGCGCTGGGCACCCCTGAGGAAGTGGCCCTCGTGGCCCTCGATATCGACTTTGGCGAAGCTGATGGCCTTCATCGCCGGGTTGTTCTCGAGGATTTTGTCGCCAGTGGTGAGCGGCACGTCGAACTCCAAAACGACAACCTTGGGTGCGTACGCCTTGCCCGGGTGGAACAGATCCTGCAACTGGTCGTCGCTCATCTCCGTGAACGGCTTGTTGCCCTTGACGGTGGAGCCGCCCTTATTGACGGGGTTGAGCGACATGGTCACCATCTTCGGGTCGTCGGGGGCGCCCACGGCGTAGTTGTACATGTCCACGTTCTGGAGGTTGTTCGCCAGGATACCGACTGCGAGGTGGTCGGCGATGAGTGGCATACCCTCCACGGCGACCACCTTGCCGCCAGAGAACTTGAGACAGTCCGCGAGCGGGATGGTGAATGTGCCGATGTTTGCGCCGATGTCGAGGAAATTGCCGACCGAGCCGTACATTTGGAACTCCTTGCAGAGCTCGGCGATGTGGTTCTTCTCCCAGCCGGTCCCGGCGAGGAGCCCGCCAGAGACGCCCTCGTCCGAGTACCTGTCGAATGCGGCAATGGTCAGGTTGTAGTTGCCCATGTTGCTCTCGACCTGGGGAAACAGAGAAATACCAATACCGCTGAATTCCGCGGCTCCCCAGATCGCCCCTCTGCGCTCTGACCGAGGCCGCGAGGCGAGTCCGCCCGCTACGGCGACCCAGGAGGCCCCAAAGTGGCTGCCAGCAAGCTGCACACACACGCACACACACACACACACTCAAACACACACACACACACACACTCGGGGGCGCGCAAACATGGATTAGCGATCTAAGGATTTGGCGCGCGGTCGCCAAATCTATGGATCGGGTGAGGTGCCCTCCCCAAATTGCAGCCGGTGCCGCCTCGTTCGGCGGCGGAAATCCACGATTTCCGATGGGAACGGGAGCCGTCGCTAATCAACGCCCCCTTGATCCATGTTTGCGATCGCCTGACACACACACACACACACACACGCACACACACACACACACACACACACGGCTGGATCCACATCAGGAGCACCCCGAGGTGACCACTTGAGGGACACACGTGAGGAGGGCTGGCCCACACGCCTGCGGAAGGGCCAGCCTCATCATGTACGCGCGGGCGTTCATTCTCGACGTCGGTCATGACTTCGCAGCGGCGAGGGCGGGGAACACAGCGGGTTCGGGGGCCCCTGCGGGGCCGCAGGTCTGGTCGAACTCAGCGCCCCCCCCCCACCGCCCGAAACGCCAGCGGCGGCATTCTCATTTGTTCCGAATCGATCGACGTGTCGGCCGGCCCCGTGTGCATCCAGTCCTGGCCCAGGCTAGCCTCGCAGTGTGCACGGGGGGATCCAGCTTCCTGGACAAAAAACATCACCAGGGAAGGGTTGTTCGGTATCGACAGGTGGTTCTTCCCCGGTGGGCCGTCGCGTGGTAGAGCGTGCTGTTCGCCGCGAAGATGGGCCCGTGGGCCCACCTGGCTCGCTCCAGAACCAGCAGGCCCACCCCAGGAAATCTCTCTTTCAACCACCTGCTGCTTTCCCTCCTCACCTCTCTCCCTAACTGCCTGTCCCCTCCTTCCCATCACCTCGTCCTGCACCTGTCTAGGCAAGCCGTGAGGCGCACCTTCCTCCTCCTCCTCCTCCTCCTCCTCCTTCGCCTTCTCCGCCTCCTCCTTCCCCTCCTTCTCCTCCTCCTCTTCCTCCTCCTCCTCCTCCTCCTCCTCCTCCTCCTCCTCCTCCTCCTCCTCCCCTCTCCCACAATGCAGGTCGCATCTTTCACGACCGCCGGCCTCAGCGGGCGGGGCCTCCCCCCGCTTCCACCCCCGCCGGCCTCCTCCGGCCCGCCACCTTCCGCCGAGGAAGAGACATCAACCGCAGCGCTCCCTCCAGACCCATATTATCCTGTCTGGGACGCCCTTCATCACGCCCCAAACTGGAGTCAACCAGTGCAGTAAGGATGCGCGATAAGGATGCAAGGGCCCTGGAAGGCCATGTCGGCACCCTGCAAGCGGGGCGCGGCCAGCGAAAGCGGCCAAAGATGGGCCGAAGGGGCGAGGATGCAAGGGTACCCTTGGAAAGGCTGCCTATCCTTACGCTACCAGATGATGATGATGATGCTGCTGATGATGATGATGATGATGATGATAGTGATGGTGATGGTGATGGTGATGATGATGATGGTGATGGTGATGGTGATGGTGATGGTGATGGTGATGGTGATGGTGATGATGATGATTATGATGATGATGATGCTGCTGCTGCTGCTGATGATGATGATGGTGATGGTGATGGTGATGGTGATGATGATGATGATGATGGTGATGGTGATGGTGATGGTGATGGTGCTGGTGATGGTGATGATGATGATGATGATGATGATGATGATGATGATGATGATGATGATGGTGACGACGACGGTGCTGATGATGCTGATGATGATGGTGACGACGGCGACGATGATGATGATGATGATGATGATGATGATGATGATGCTGGTGATGGTGATGGTGATGGTGATGATGGTGATCCCTCAAGACCCATTTTACCCTGTCTGGAAAGCCCTTCATCATGCCCCGAACTACTCCTCCACCGATGCCGACTCGAGATCGGTCCCCGGGCCCCTCCCGGGGCCCGTCCTGGCAGGCCTCTCGCTCTGCATCGAGCTCCGACGGCCCTCGGGCCCCGAGGCGGGCCTCCCGAGCTGTCATACCTAAAGACACACCCCGTCCTCCCCCCGGCCACAGCCCGATCGACACGGGCCCCCCGACCCCGTCCAGGGGTCCATCGAGGCCGCCCAGACACACGCGTTCCAGAATCTGCGAGGTGACTACTCGCATATGGCCGGGGGACGCCGCGAAGGATTTACGACTACTGATCGGGTGTTGCCAGAAGTGCCCCTGGCCCAAGGTGCCCCTAGCTTTTCGCTCAATGTTGGAGCCCCTGGGGCCCTCTGGGCCTCGTGAGGGGTGCTCTGGAGGCCGCCTGGGCCACCCCGAGAATCCTGGGGGTACCTTTGGCCAGGGGTACTTCTAGCAACACCCGAACTTACATCGAGGCAGACATCTACCTCTTTTCCCGGAAGAGGCTCGGGCCCAGGGTCCTCTTTCAGTTGGACAACCCCCAGGCCTGGACCTGCGCAGGGCGGGCGCATAGATTCTGCGATGCACAAGGAGGTCGCGCAGGGCCGGCGAATTAAACAGTCGAGGATGTCTCGAGCATACACGTGTCCGTTTGTTGCGGATGCCTCAACGACACGCTTGTGTTGCTGTATTGCTTGAGGATGTCTCGAGCGAAGCGCTTTTTGTTGAGTCATAGGTCGTTCCTCTCCTGGGGACCAGAATTCAGAGGATGCCTCAGGCAAAATGCTTGCACGTGCCCAGGTCTTGAGAATGTCTCGAACGAGACGTTTGGTTTCACGCGTCCAGGTTGCCCATGCAGATTTCTAGCATGAGGACTTGTTGATGATGTCTCGAGCGAGACGCTTTTTCACGCGTCCAGGGCGCCAAGGCAGATGTCTAGCATGAGGACTTGTTGATGATGTCTCGAGAGAGACGCTTGTTTTCACGTGTCCACGTCGCCCAGGCGGATGTCTGGCATGAAGAAGTGTTGACGACGTGTTGACCGAGGCACTTGTTTTCGCGCGTCCGGGTCGCCCAGACGGATATCTAGCATGAGCATGTGTTCAGGATGTCTCGAGCGAGACGCTTGTTTTCACGTGTCCAGGTCGCCCAGCCGGATTTAGAACACTAGGATTTGTTGAGGATGTCTCGAGCGAATCGCTTGTCACAATAGAGCGCGTCGCAGTCCAACCCCGCCCGTCCGTGGGGTGTCCCTGGCGCACTGGCGCTTCCCCTGGCGCGTCCCTTGCGACGTTCTGTCGTGGCGTGCCCTGGAAGGTCCCCTGGCACGCCACTCGGCGTGGCACGTTCCCTGGCTCGTCCTCTGTCGTGGTTCCTGGCTCGTCCCCAGCCGTTTCCCCTGCTCGTTCCGTGGCGCGCCCCTTTGCAACGTCCCTTGGCATCACGTCCTCTGGCCGCCCCATGGCGCGCGCCTTGGCACGTCCCGTGGCAAGTCCCTGACACGTCCAGGTTACGTCCCCTTATATATACGTCCCCTGAGACGTCCCCTGGCGCATCCCCTGTTGAGCCCCTGGCACATCCTCTGGCGCGTCTGTGAGCCTGTGCCCAGTGTCGTGTCGCTCCTTTTCGGAGCTGAGTCGGATTTTGAGGTCGAGTGAACGTACCCCGCGTTTCCAATTCAACTAGCTCTGAGGCAGCTACTATGTGCGCAAGCAGCTCGAGCTTAAAATCTGGACAAGTTCGGTCAGGACTCGGATGCTAAGGAGGACTCGCTCCACAACGCTAAAGACCACAATCGCGGCATGGCACATCGCAATTCAGCACGGCACAGCCGTCGCCCAACCAAGTCTTGAAAACGTTGCCACGCACCACATTTCTGTCTTCCGTTCCCGGTTCGTGGGTCGATCATGCTTCCCACGTTTGTGAATAAGAACTTTGCGAGTAGTGTAGCAGGGCTGAACCTAAACGGTGTGCTCGCTTTCGTTAGGTTTTCGTTGTCCCTCGCTCTTGTCTCGAATTCGCCTTTACCAAAAACAAAGAAGTCGAAACGAAAACAGGCCCACGAAATCACAAACAAACACCGTTGAGGTCCAGCCTCGCGCGCTCGGTGAACGCCAGCTGTCCACCCAGGGTCCAGTTCTGTTGGCCCCGAGGCCCGAAACGGGCCTCCAAGAGGTGCGATGCGAAAGCCGCTCTCCCACGCAGGCGGGGCAGCATCCGGGGCAGGCGACGCCCCTCAATGGGACCCCCGACGGCACGACTCCTGCGCGTCGCCGACGCCAAGAGTTTAGCTCAGACATGCCAGCGTGTCTTCCTCTTGTCACGGTCCCGGGCCCGGCGAAGAACCCCAGGAGGCCGAACATGCGCAACAACAAATAATGCTCTGAAGGGTCGGACCCCTCTGATGATGGTGGTGATGGTGAAGGTGATGAGGCTGATAAGGATGACACTGAGGATGATAATACTAATGATGACGATGATGATGACGATGTCGATGACGAGTATGGAGATGACGATGCTGCTGCTGATGATGATGACGACGATAATGATGGTGACGACGAACATGGTATTGATGATGATGATGATGATGATGATGATGATGATGGTGGTGACGCTGATGACGATTATGATCGAGGATCGAAAGTAACCATGGCGCTACCGGATGATGATGATGATGATGCTGATGATGATGATGACGACGACGACGACGACGACGACGATGATGATGATGATGATGATGATGATGATGATGATGATGATGATGATGATGATGATGATGATGATGCGGATGATGCTGATGATGGTGATGATGGTGATGGTGATGATGGTGATGGTGATGACGATCATGTGATGGTGATGGTATGTGTAACCAGAGTATGACGATGGTGATGAGGTTGATGAGGATGGTGGTGGTGGTGATGGCGAGGATGAGCGTGAGAGGAGGAGAAGGCCAGAGGGGGTGAGGTGCTCTCCTGCGCGGGAACAAGAACCCCACTCAGGACGTGGGGGGACGAAGCGGACGTCGCGACTTCTGCCGCGACGCGAGGGGCTCGGCGTTTGGAGCGCCACGAGCCTCTCGAGGTCCGCCGGCATGGGCCTCGAGACGTCCTGGCGCGCCAGCAGCTCCGCCGCGGCCCCGGAGGACGCGGGCGCCCCGGGCAGCGCCTCCCGCGACAGCGCCACCGCGGAGGCGCCGAGCGCCGCGCCCGCGCAGGCCGCGGCGCGGAGTACGGAGGAGGGCGCCATGGCCAGGCGCGGTCTCGGCGGCGCGCAGAGGGGGGGTGCAGTGGGGCCCGGCCACAGGAGACCTGCCACGAGAAGCCCAACCCCAAGACAGCCCCGAGAGACCCCCACGGCAGTCCACAGGGGCCCGCGACGGCCCAGGGGCCCCAGAGCGACCCAGCAGGCTCCATCCGCGGCCTCGCAACGACGCCCAAGAGATCCCCAGGACGGGCCACCTCGCCACACTAGCTGAGCACGGCGGCAGAAAGAGGGTCCATACAGTAGGAGCTCGACCTCAAAAGAACCATCCACAAGAAGCCCGATGACCTGAGACCCCAGGACGCCCATCGGTGTCTGGTGTCGGGGCGTCGCGCTCTCTGTCGCAAAACCATCGGAATCCTAGGAGCCTAGGGCACCCTGGAGGCGAGCAGGGTGTTTCATGGCATGGGCCCCCACTGTATGGGGGGGAGGGGGGGCAGGCTTCTCAGAAGGAGGCTGCTGCGAAGACGGCGCCGGCCCTTGCCTCTGGAAACGGGGCCCGCGCCCTCTGAGAAGCAGGGGGGGTTCCAAGAAGCCTCCCCCCCTCCCCCTCACCCCCCTTCTGCGCGCGGCTGACTGTCGGCGTCGGGGAGCGACGGAGGGGCGGAGGTTCGGTGTTCGCGGGCTGTGGCAGTCAACCCGTCTCAGAAGGATGCGCGGTAAGGACGCAAGAGCCCTGGGCCCTGGAGGCCCACGCTGACGTTGTTCGAAGGAGGATGGCCAGCGAAAGTCGCCAAGGATGGGCCGAAGGGGGATGGATGCCAGGGTACTCTGGGGAAGGTTGCGCATCATCCACTATGCGGGCCGACTTCAAAGCCGCGCTAACGGCGTGATTGGTTAACGGTGCGGTTGGGAATATGGTTGTTGGTGACACCGAGCTCACGAAAACAACATGTGGGAAATCACGAAAGGCCGTTTCCTGAATGTCAAATATGCGAATGCATCGAACGAAAGCGACACAGCGAGCTGTAGGGAAACACGAGCCACGCGTTCCTACAATCGGTTTGGTAACGAACCACGCCGTTCCTGCAATTGGTTGTCCTATTTCGCCGGTGGCCAACACACCGTTAGCACGTCTCTTCCTTTCCTCCTTCCTGGGGGAGGGAGGGAGTGAGGGAGATGGTGGTGGTGTATATTTTTGGGCCCCGTAAAGGATGCTTATGTTCGATTGTTCCGTTGCATCCTCAGGGGACCTTTGCTGTCCTGTCGCGGCCGCGTTCGGGTCGACTCCGTGCCGAATCCACGTCGGACTCGTCGGATCTGTGTCGAATCCGCGTGGACTCCACGTCAAATCCGCGTCGAGTCCGCATAGAGCCCGCTTCAGGCACAAGCGAAGACGGCAACTTTGAGGGACAGGCGAAGCCCCAGAAGACGCAACGTAACGACGGTTGGGTCTTCGGCGTCAGGTGTTCGGAGCTGTTCCCAGTTCGAACAGCAGCATCCCTGCTGGAGCCCGCCCGCAACTCGGGCCGCAACTCGGGCGCCCTGGCTGGCCCTGTCCAGGAGAGGCCGAGAGGTCGGAAGTGCGGCTTCCGCAGGCTCGTATTCACCCCCTCGCGCCGCGCAGGCATCACACCGCAGAAGCTGTTGGTCTCTTCGGCGGAGGAGGGTCCCCACCTGGCCTCGGGGCCGTCAAAGAACGACTCGGGATGAAGAGGGGGTCTCCAAAATGGTGTCCAGACGTTAAGGTGCTCTGACAGACTTTAGCCCTGACCGCGAGCGAGAACTTCGAGCACCAAGAAAGTACAGAAACTGGATGGTTTTCACGTGCCGGCCCTGGGACGCGATACTCGCTCGACGCTGTTTCGATACTGTTATGGGTGCTCGAAATTATTTCTGGGGTGTGGTCTTGGCGGCGCGCAGAGTGGTGTAGGGGGAGGGGGGAGGGATTCTCTTAAAGGAGGCTGCTTCTTAGAAGGCGCCGGCCTTGCATCTACAGGCAGGGGTGCTTCTAAGAAGCAGGGGTGCTTCTAAAAAGCTCTCCCCCCTCCCCCTACCCCCCTCTGCGCGTGGCCGATGGTTCGTAAGTACGATGGGAGCAAGTTGCTTGTTTTTAACGGCGCGGCGGGTCTGGGTCCGTCGGCTCTCGGGCCATGACGCGGGCCTTGTGCGGCCGTCCGGGCCAGCCGCGCACCGGGCGGAGGGATCGAGGATCGGAGGTTAGTTTGTCGGCGTCTTTCGGGCGTTGGCAGAACTGGATTTAGTGGGACCTGGTTTAGTGATGTGTACTGGGGGACGCCCACCCCGCCCCGAAAGAACACCAGCTACGGCAGACCTGGTCTAGTGATTCTGGCCATTTTAGGGCTCCTGGGCCCTACTACTAACGGGTCCCCTTACCTGGGGCCCTGGCTACACCGGAGTCTTTGAACTCTGAGATTCTGGCGTCGAAATGGATTCACGCCCAGCGGGTTCGCCCCATTTCGGGCCCCGGGACCCTCGCGGATTGATTTGGCTCGGAAAATGCAACAGGACGAGGTTCTGTAGGGTTCCGATCGAGATATCTTATGATGTTGCAATTTGATCGCGAAGTCGGATCTCCTGGAATTGGCCCTGGGGCGCTTTCCGTCAGCCGCGCATCGTCGAAAGGCGTCGGGAGTGCCTGGATCATTCCGAACGCCCGAGAAACGAGGTATGGCCAGAAAGCCGACCGACCCAGATCCCTTTGCGTCGTGAAGAAAGCACGACACATGGTCTCGGGCAATTTGGAGCCTCTGTAGGCCCCTGACCAAGCTCCAGGGCCGTCAACATGGCTCGGGATGAAGAGCTGGCTCTGGGGAAGGGGCCGAAACCTGCAGAGGCCCTCTTTGAGAACAAACCACACGACGTCGCGGGCCTGGGCTGCACCGTGGAGAAGCCCTGCGACGCATGGGAGTAACCGGCCTATCTGCATTGGGGGCGTCTATAGAGAGCTCCGAGGCGCTCTCGGAAGCTTCCGGGAAGCATGTTTGATCCTCCTCCTCCTCCTCCTCCTCCTCCTCCTCCTCCTCTCCCTCCTCCTCCTCCTCCTCCTCCTCCTCCTCCTCCTCCTCCTCCTCCTGTTGTTTGGAAGCCTCCTGCGCCCGCGGAGGGCCCTGCCTCCTCCGGAGGCCCACCCCGCCGCCCCCCCCGTCTCGGCGCACCGCCGAGTCACAAGGTAGTGGAGTGTGAGGTATCGTGCCAGCCAGCGCGGGGGCCTGAGCCAAGAGCGGCTTCGGCGGAGGGGGGGGAGGAGGAGGGGGGGAGGGGGACGAGTCTGGGGAGGGAGGGGAAGGGAGGGCTGGCTGGCTGGATATGGCATTGAGATGGTCCAAATGGCAAGTGGTAGGGAGAGAGGGAGGGAGTGAAGTGTGGAATGAAACATCGAGAGTAAAAGAGACAGAGAGAGAGAGGATAACAAAAAAAAAACATGGAGAGACAGAGACAAAGAGGGACAGGGAGAGAGAGAGAGAGAGAGAGAGCAAGAAAGATAGAAGAGAGGACCGTGAGGAGGATTAGGAGGATGGGGAGGAAGAGAAAGAGGGGGAACCGGGCCACGGAAAAAGGGGGGAAACGAGGGCGACGACGAGGAGAGAGACGAAGAGAAGCAGGAGACCCGAAGGAGGGGGTGCGTGCCAGGAGGACGGGAGGACAAGGACGCGGAGGCCAAGAGGAGAAGGGGAGGAGGGATTCCAATGAGGAGGATGCGGGAGGAGGGCCAGGAGAAGGAGACCATGAGGAGGATGAGGAGGAGAAGGGAGAAGGAGGAGACGGAGGGTGAGGATGATGATGATGATGGTGCTGATGAGGAGCAGGAGGAGGTAGTGCCATTATCATCTTCCTGCTCCTCCTCCTCCTCCTCCTCCTCCTCCTACTCAAGCGATTTGTCATCGCAATTACCAGCATCAGAATGTCAATCGGGAGGAAAATAGCAAGAGATTGTAGGAGGAAGAGAGGTACAAAACGGTAGAGAGGAGGAGGAGGAGGAGGAGGAAGAGGAGGAGAGGGAGCAGCAGGAGGAGGAGGAGGAGAAGGCAGAAGGGGGTGGAAGAGGAGTTCCCCCCGGCCAGATCAAGATTGAAACCTAGCCCCAATCACTCATAGCTGCCGCCTCGACCAGTCTTTTCCAGTCAGGTCCAGCCATCGCGGCGAAGGACCCGACAATTAGGGGGGCAACCAGGCAACAAACCTCCGGCCGGAGGCACAGAACAGGCATCTGGAGCAGCTCGTGAGAGACTGCTTCAGAATCAAGAGCAAACTCGGGCACTGCAGCAAGTGCCTCTTCACCCCATAGAGCCTCAGCAAACTGGGCCACGCGCTCAAACTGGCGGCTCTGTACGACGCCTCGCTGACTCGGACCCTCTCCGCGCGGCTCGCGCCGTGGCCGCCGGCAACGGCCCGGACTCGAGGTGGAGCGCGACCAGGGCGGCTGCGAGGCCGAGGGTGATCCAACCGATCGGCGCCAGGACCACGTTGAGCACATTCCCGCCTGGACCGCCCAGGTCGTAGCTGTGCTTGATGTTGTCCATGATGCAGAACTCTCGGAAGCATACCTTTCCGATCGCCATCATGTCGAAGGCAAGGACGCAGCCGGAGAGCAAGAGGAGCGCCAGCCCCAAGAAGCGCCACGCGAGCACGCGTGCCTAGAGGCCACCAGTTGGACATCTGGGTGTACTTCTTCGCGTCCTCGGCCTCCTTCTCTGCCAGCGTCCGTACTGTGTCGTGCTCTGGCCGATACGTGTTCAAAAGCTCGCCCCCCGACTCGTGATGTTCCGACCTACCTGAACTTGACCACCTAAGAGAACTCCGAGCACCAAGAAAGCATCCGAACCGGAGAGCCTTCGCGCGTCGGGCCCCGGGAGGCGACACTCCTTCGACGCTGTTACGATACTCTTCGGGGTGCTCGACATTATGTATGGGATGCGGTCCTCAAGTACGTACGCTGGAAGCAACAGCACCTCCGACTTTTCGACGAGCTCCGAAAGACAACCGTGGCGCCTGCCTGGAAGGCCGCAGCGAGCCCCGGTGGCGAAGGATGCGCTCGTGCTCTGCGCTCCTTCGGCGGTGCCCTGTTCTGTCGGAAACACTCCCACAACCACCATCAGTTGGAGTGGGAGGGGCTCCTCCTCCTCCTCCTCCTCCTTCTCCTCCTCCACTTCCTTCCCCCCTCCAACTTATGGTGGTGGTGGTGGAAAACAGGCCCATCAGACAAGGATGACTGGGCACGTGCCAAGATACATCTGGGTACTCCTCAGCTGGGCCATGCCGCAGAGCACGATCGTTGGGAAGTCCGCCGATCGCATGTGGGCCTCCAGGCGCGTGAGATCCCTCCCCCCTCAATCCCCACCCCAGGGATCCCAGAGCGGGAAGTTGACTCCCCCCAGTCCTCGCACGACCCCCCGCCGCACTCATCCGGGCGGGGTCCCGCCCTCCCCGCTGGGGGTCTGGCTCTCCCAGGGCTGCTCCTGCTGCCGCGAAATGGCCGCCGACGGTCCAAGACGACGAAGAAAACCTATTAAAACCCCAGGCAAGGTCCAACCCGCCGCCGAGACGGTAAAGGCATCCGCGAACACCCCCAATAAAGCTCAAATTGGCAAAATGCCTCTATGTTCCTCTGGCTTTGAAAGATTTTCGTGTTCTCGCCTTCTCGGCCTCCCGACGTTCCCAGACAGGTCCAGCTGCCCCCAAGATTGTTACCAGACGGCGCAAAACGCCTCCAAGAGGACCCCAGAACGGCCTCAGAGCGAACAAGATGGCTCACGACGTCTCCAAGACGGCCCCAGGGTGGCCCAAGACGGCTCCAACAGGAGACCCGACGGAGAGCTCCAACGGACATTCCAAGCCCTCGGCCCCAATACGCCCCAGGAGGCTTCAAAAATCCCCCAAGAGGCCCCCAGGAAACACAGAAAAAGCTCCGAAAAGGCCCCAAGAAGCTGCCAAGAGGCCCCACAAAGCGTTCCACAGCACACCCGAGAGTGCCCCAAGAAGCAGAATCCACTGATGTACCAAAACGGTTTCTGAAAGATTTAGGCGTTCTCGCCACTTCAGCTCCCAAACGTCCAGACACGGCCCATGAGGCTCCAGGAATTGCCCCAAGACGAGCCCACGGGTTTCGAAACGGGCCTCCAGAGGCCCTAGGACGGCTCCCACACGGTCTAAACAAGCATCCAAGACGGTCCTATCGGAATCTGATGCCGCCCACCACCCCGCAAGGGCGCAGCCTCTTCAGTGCGAGCCTGTGTGTGTGCGTGTGTGGTATGTGTGTGTCTGTGTCTATATATGTGCGTAAGTGTGTGTAGGTGTGTATGCGCGTGTGCGTGTGCGTGTGAGTGTGCGTGTGC